GACTGGATCTGCAGCAGGTGGTGGGGGAACCAAAGGGGAAAAACATACTTGATCTCACTTACCAATCCGCCAGCTGCAGATACATCTGTCCATGTACTGGTAACAGTGACCACCGCACAGTCCTTGTGGAGACAAAATCCTGCCTTCACATTGAGGATAACCTCCCTTGAATTGTGTGGCATTATCACCGTGCCAAATAGCACATTCTTCGCACAGATCTAGCAACTCAAGACTGGGCATCCATGAGGCACTGTGGGCCATCAGCAGCAGCAGAGTTGTACTCCAGCACATTCTGTAACCACATGGCCCAGCATATCCCCCACTCAACCATTACCATCAAGCCAGGAAATCAACCCTGGTTCAATGGAGAGTGCAGAAGGGCATGCCAGGAGCAGCACCAGGCATACCTGAAGATGAGGTACCAACCTTGCGAAGCCACCGAACAGGACTACTTGCATGCCAAACAACATAAGCAGCAAATGATAAACAGCACTAAGCGATCCCACATTCAACGGATCAGATCTAAGCTCTGCAATCTTGCTACATCCAGTCGTGAATGGTGATGAACAATTAAGCAACTCAGAGGATGTGGAAGCTCCACAAATATCCCCATCCTTAATGATGGAACAGCCCAGCACATCAATGTAAAAGATAAAGGCTGAAGCATTCGTAACAATCTTCAGCCAGAAGTGCTGAGTGGATGATCCATCTCGGCCTCCTCCAGTGGTCCCCAGCATTACAGATACCAGTATTCAACAAATTCGATTCACTCCACGTGACATCAAGAAATGGTTGGAGGCACTGGATACACAAAGGTTACAGGCCCTGACAACATTCTGGCAAAGCACTGAAGACTTGTGCTCCAGAACCTGCCACTCCCCTAGCCAAGCTGTTCCTGTGCAGTTACAACACTGGCATCTACCCAACAATGTGTAACCTTATCCATATATGTCCTGTACATAAAAAGCAAAACAAATCCAACCCGACCAATTACCACCCTATCAGTCTACTCTCGATCATCAGTAAAGTAATGGAAGGTGTCATCAACAGTGCTATCAAGCAGCACCTGCTCAGAAGTAACCTGCTCAGTGACAACCAGTTTGGATTCCGCCAGGGCCACTCTACTCCTGATCTCATTACAATCTTGGTTCAAACATGACTAAACAGCTGGATTCCAAAGGTAAGGTGAGATGGACAGGCCTTGAAATCAAGGCTGCATTCGACCAAGCATGGCATTACAGAGCCCTAGCAAAACTGGAATCAATGGGTATCAGCAGAAAAACCTCTGTTGGTTAAAGAGTCATAAGTAGGAAGATGGTTGTGGTTGTTGCAAGTCAGTCATCTCAGCTCCAAGACATCTCTGCAGGAGTTCCTCAGGGTAGTATCCTATGCCCAATCATCTTCAGCTGCTTCATCAACGACCTTCCATCCATCATAAGATCAGAAGTGGGGATGTTCACCGATGATTGCACAATGTTCAGCACAATTCATGGCTCCTCAGACAATGAAGCAGCTTGTGTTCAAATGCAACAAGATTTGGACATTATTCAGGCTTGGGCTGACAAGTGGCAAGTAACATTCATGTCACACAAATGCCAAGCTATGGCCATCACCAATAAGAGACAATCTAAGCACCACCCCTTGACATTCAATGGTGCTACCATCACTGTACCCTTCACTATCAACATCCTGGGAGTTATCATTGATCAGAAACTCAACTAGACCCACCACATAAATGCAGTGGCTACAAGAGCAGGTCAGAGGCTAGGAATGCTGTGGAAAGTAACTCACCTCCTGATTCCCCAAAGCCTGCTCACTATCCACAAGGCACAAGTCAGGAGCGTGACAGAATACTTCCCACTTGCCTGGATGAGTGCAGCCCCAACAACACTCAAGAAGCTTGACACCATCCAGGACAAAGCAGCCCACTTGATTGGCACTACATCCACAAGCATCCACTCTCTCCACCAGTGACACTCAGTAGTACACAGTGCTGCTACCTACAAGATGCACTGCAGAAATTAACCAAAAATCCTTAGACAGCACGTTCCAAACCCACTGCTATTTCTATCTAGAAGGACAAGGGCAGCAGACATATGGAAACACTACCACCTTCAAGTTCCAAGCCACTCACCATCCTGACTTGGAAATATGTCATCGTTCCTTCATTGTGACCGGGTCAAAGACCTGGAATTCCCTCCGTA